GTCTCCGTGCCCCACACTTTGAGAAACACTGGATTACACTGTCTCGGGACCCTGGTTCAAACTAACTCTGCTGGTTGAACAATTGATAAAATTGATTTTTGGGTGGGAAAAGTGTGACGTTAGCGCTAGCTAAACAAAGACCGTGGACCACTTCAGTTGGTCAAACAGAAGTTCAGGTTGATTTTTAATCTCCTGTAATTCATCATACAAATGACAACTGAGTATTTCTGGGTTTATACCCTATATTATCAGGCTCATTTTGACTTCTTTATTTAACTACTCACTCTCTGTGGTAGTCAACTACTGCAGGGGCTGCAAATTTGATTTTGTGTAAAATGAAGACCCCCACCCCCCCCCACACACACACCTTATCTGTCACTGGCTGTTGTGCTAACGCTAAGGCATATGAAAGGATTACAGCTCCCATTTATTTATCTGTCTCTCCTCTCCCCGTCTCCTGACTGATGACAGTCAGATTAAGGTCTTTGTGCAGAACAAACAGCAGTGGAGCAAAAATAACTCCCACGCCTCCTCAATTTAGAACCACTGCAAAGTGTTGACCCGTATTCAAAGACAATTTAATGCATTTTTCTGTCACGCGAACGGCACACACATCTAACAGAAAGAAACCTGCAGCGATCGAAAACCAATAAGACTTCGTGATTAAGTATTAATAGAAAACAGGAACCTAGACTTTTGTGAGGCAGTTTCACCACTGATCACCTGACCCATTTATTATTGGAGTGACCTTAAACCTACTTTACAATTTAGTTCGGTCCATGGTCAAATGTCTAAATCCACCAGTAACATGGGCAGCCTGACAATTATTCATCCATCCATCCATCCATCCATCCATCCATCCATCCATCCAACCACTGCACTAATACATAGTCTACATACACACACTGTGACAAAAAAGTTCAAAGGCTGCATTTAATAACAATGAAAGAAAAAACTGCCAACTCTAAGACGCTAAATTTCGAAGTTTTAGACTTTTCTTTACATCTTTCCCTCTGAATATTCCTATGGTTTGGATTAGTGGCAAATAAAAACAGGTCTGACCTGCTATTAGCCTTCTCATAAATACAGAAAATACAGAATATTCAGGAATGCTATTTCAATAAATTATGATTAATTGTGATTAATCACGATAAATCCACAGCTGCCCTTTGATTAATCAGACCAAAAATGTCATCATTTCAAACAGCTGTTGGTCAGTGTTCCAAGAGTGGGAACAACCTGCTGCAGACATCCAGATGAATGGTCCAGTTAAAGCACAGCAGAGTCTTTCCACAGTGAATATATTTCCTCAGAACAGTTTGGGTGTAAATGATGTGACTTTGCACTGTTTCAGTTTTAATTTGCACCCGTGGCCTTACCACAGGGAAAGGTCACAACTGCTTTTCTTTTGGATTTCTTACACCGTCTGATTAATATTTGGTCCCCTGTCAGGGCATGAACACCTAAAGGAGAGGTTTTTAATTAACCCAGCTCCACCTTTTTGACCTCACCAAAGGTCAAGCAGACCTTTAGTGAGGTTAAAAAGGTGGAGGTGTGTTATAAATGTTATGAAAGACATTTAACACGCATTTTCTGCACTAATAAGAATGAGAACGTAAACTCGCTGTGATGGGTTCACACACAACACACACACATACTGAGAACAGTGGTTCAGTCAGACAGGAAATGCCAATGTAAACTCTTAGAAGTGTCAATTCACGCTTTTCTGATCTGCAAGTGTAACGCGGAATAAGGATTAGCGACATTAACAGAACATATTTGACTTTTTTCCCCTTTTGCACAAAATCCCCAGAGACTGTCCCCCCTCCACCCCCGCCCCTCATGTTTATTTTAGGCTCCTTTCTATTCTCTCATAACAAGGGACAAATGTTCCCTCCAGCAGCGGGGAAGAAAAAATTATTCATGACTATATCTCAATACATAACCATCAAACTGACAGGTTATGTTGGGTCTCATTAATCACTAATTTTGCTGCAGGAAACAAGCGTCACAAACTAATTTTAATGATCAATGGGACAGCGCACCCTGGAGCTGGGATTTTGTTTCCTTTTCTGAAGCCTCGGCCTTTAATGTCTCATTTGAAAAGATTAGGAAGATGATGGCACGAAACAAACGGACCTGAGCAGAATTAAGTTGGAAGGAAATCACCATCATTAGGAAAGCAACTGATTTTTTTTCTCCAATCAACCAGGTAACTAAGACGGCTTCATTAACAACCACAAGTAAATGAAACTCAGTTCACCAATTTAAAAAAACAAACAAAAAGTGACTGCTAACTAAGTCCTTAGTTTGTTCGAGTTAAGAGCAAAAGGATTCACAGACAGTTTTACATTTTACTGTGACTGGGTCACAAACCGACACGTTCTGTATGTATGTGTAAAAGAAAGCCCTGTGGCCTTGATTTCACATGTAACATTGAAACTATTTAAAAAATTTCTTCTAACACAGTCAAGTTTCTCTAAGAGACGTGTGACCGACACAGGTGACAGAATTTATTTGAAAAAAATAGACAGAAGTCTCAGTTGCACCAAGCTGTGTTTGAAGGAACTCAAGTCAACAACCAATCAGGTGCTGAGAAGTCATACTGTAGTGTCATGTTGACTCCTAATGAAACACAGCAGTTTTAACCAAAGCATTACATTACTGTATGTGTCTGTGCAGTACTGTTCAGAGGTATCATAGTGTAGCCCAGAGGAACCACGTATCGCTAATGGCGCCTCCATGTGGCAACATGTGAGCTGCACCCATGTACTTAACGCCACGATGTTTGGCACACACACACACACACACAGTGTAAACTTCCCCACTGTGGGACAAATAAGGGACTCATTTTATTTTTAATATTATACGTACAATGACCAATTCTTCCTCCAAATTAGGACTGTGACTTCAACCAAATAAAATTCAACTAATGCACCTCATACCACTGATTTGCCTTAATAAATGTTGCTATTTATTTCAGAACTATGCCCCTTCAGACAGTTATAAAATATGTGCTTAATAATTTCTTTTCATTTTATTTTGACATCTTGAGGACATACAGTCCAAATGCAGAATTTCCACATTCCTCAGGTCTTTAAAAATCACGATACTGTAAACCGTTCAACCGGTCACATTTCCTCACTTGCACCCAAACATCAGGGATACTGATGAGGAGACGAGAGAAAACATACACAGCTGTTCACACCCCCCCCCCCTCCCCACCGGCCCCCCTCCTCTTCTTTGCAGTCTCATTAATATTAACCACAGACCCTCAGTACAACACAAACCATCAATAATGCAAGTCCCCAAAATGAGTCTTCCCAAATAATTACTTCTATAAGCCAAGTCCTGAAGCCAGACATTGTTTGCTGCAGCTGTGTCGCCTTATTGTGACAACATAATGACTCTGCACAGCCAGCGCCCGCTACACGCTTTAATATGTGTCTGTAGCTGAAATTAGGTAATGCTGGTTGAATCTACACGTCTTAACAAACAGAGGGAAATGGAAGAGCCTGATGGAAATCTGCTCAACACAAAAGTAAGAATGAAGGTTAAAGAGCTGTGAGTGTGAAATATCGTCGGTTGTGACTAAATTCTTTTGCTGCAGCTCGATATTTGTTCAATTTGGTCCAAAATTGCTGTCACAGACGATTACCCTTTTTGTTTAGTCCTGATAAAAAAAAAACCAAAAACATTTTAACCTTTGATGAAAAACACTTTAGAAAAAGAGCAGAGTAATTACTCAGTTATACATTTTAACAGCTTTATTTCACTCTAGCTTGTCATATTTTGTTTTGCTTCTTTATCAAACCCCATAAGATCGAAAAAGAACAACATTCAATTACAAAACACAAGACTAATTTATGCCGTTAACAAGAATTTTTACAGATTTTTTTTTCCGCCAACATTGGCTGATTGATCTCCAATACTGTTGATGCCATTGTAAACCTAAACAGATGGTCCGACCACGCTCATCTGCCCTTTGTTGACCTTTCACCTATGATCTTTTGGCCTTTCTCTCAGTAATGAGCCTTGAAGACCTCTTCGATGGCCAATTGTTAAACAAACAGGAATCCTGATTGTACCCACAGGACAAACCACTGCTGGATTTGTTCTAACGACATAAATACAGTAGATAAAGACAAACATCAAAAGCAGAAAAGATGATAAAATAATGCTGCTAATGCATGTGATCTCATTTTTACTGAATTTCCACCCACAGCTGCTTGGTCACGTCCCAGAATCAATGTTCAGTGGGGAAACTGAAGACTGTCAACAACAATTCTGCACTTACACAAAACTAAAACAATTTGTTCTATATATATATATATTTATACTTTTCCTGTTTCTGTCTCACACTGTAGTTCGTACTGGAACTCCACTGTGGCCCATGTGACCTTGCATTTTCGTCTCTCTTGCACCACACACACGAGGCACACACATTCAGACTAACATCCCCACTCAGGTTCTTCAGTCAGTGGAAGGAAAAATCACTGACAACAGTGACAACAACAATGACGCACACGCTGCACTGCCTAAACCTGGACTTACAACAACAGATTTTCACAGTCCTAGACTAAAAACTGAAAGTCTTTGGTAAATCTTTTGAGTTTTATTGTCGCAACACTTTCCTGTCATCTTGATTGTTAACTCTAAGACAATAATCGCGCTGTTTTATATCTGTCTTTTCCTAGTCAATATCAAACATCAATCACGTCTGACCTAACACAATCAACAACCAATAGATGAGCTCCGACAAAAACGAGAAACAGGAAACCTGGCAGTGAGAACAAGTAATTTATTTGGTCATTTATTTCTAGTAAAAAGTCTAGTAAATAGTGACGCAGCATTTTTTTTAAATGCACAAAGAGAAAAAACACTTCCCCTGCACAGAAGCGTTATATGTTAAAGGTAATCTCTCCATACGTCCAGCCACTTACACACCTACCACTCCTGACCCCTGAGATGTGCTTCACTCTGACCCGACCCCAACTCACCTATCTCGCAGCTTTCCCCAGAGAAGCCCTGAGGACAGTAGCAGCTATAGCCGTCACCTTCCTCCAGGCAGCTCCCTCCGTGGAGACAGGGGTTGGTCTGGCACGGGTTATTCTCAGCTGTGTAAAGGTGGAGACAGGCAACACAGGAAGGTTAAGTTACTAAGGTAATTTCATAATTGATGAGAATGAAAAAAACCCCCACAAAACTGCAAGAAGATCGTCTTGTTATCTCTGCACAGCTCTACCTTTTCTGCTTTTTATAGAAAAACAGTCAGAGTGCATATAAATGTATTCCTGTCTCCACTTCTTCCTACACGGTGACAGAGTGTCTGCTGTGGCCTCTGTTGTGTCCATGTTTGTCATGTCTCGGCGAGCCTCTCCTGCCTGGTGTGCTCACTCTCCTGGAGCTGATCCTGGATCTTAATGACGATTCAAAGTCACCATAAATTAGTTGGTTGTCACCCAGTCACATACAGTGTTCAGTTTTATGGCAGCTAACTGCATCGCTTTGGAGATAAAGACTTTTAGTGTCCATGAGGCTGTACTCTTCCTGGAACAACTGACGACAATCGTGAAAGCAACTCATATTTCCTGGGCGCACATTCTGGCAGAACAATGTTGGAGGAGAACGACAGGAACAGTAAGAGCAGAACGCAAACATCAGGATTATGATTTCATTTGGTTTGATATACTGTATATATATATTTTTCATTCTGGGAATAACTGTTTTTTTTTTGTTACTATTATTACAATACAATCTCAACGTGAATCCTGTATTCTTGTGGAAACAAGACAGATTTTATGCAGGAAAACAGAGTGACGTTCGTTTGTTTCGACGTGTTTTTTTTTTCACTGGCTGCAGAGATATTGTGAGAGGGTGTATTACATTTCCTGTCAAACAAAGTAAAAAAAAAGTAACATTACCATAGAGACACTGGTGTCGATACAGAATGAGGGAAAAGCTGCATTTGCAACTGAAACAGATTCACTGAATGAAAAGGCTGTGAGGTTCGCTCTTGTTCTGTAGACTTAGATTGTTGCTTAAGTAGAGACAGCAATAGTTACAACAGGATTTCTTCACTTTTAAAAAAGAAAATTCTTTCAATTTTTTCTCAATTTTCAAAAGGACGTAAATCATTATTTTAAAGGGTGTTAATGCAAGAAATACTTTTAACAGCAATTTACCCATAAATACATTTAACCAAAAGTGGTGTTAATAAATGTAAGGCCTTCTTTAAGTCAAAAATGAAATAGGTTGTTTCATGTGGAGTTAGTGAAGGATTAAACTGTTGCTACAGTCATAAGCTTAGTATCTGTGTCCAGCCGCTCAACTTATTCAACGATATTCAAACATCAAACTGCAGCCGTGGACATTCTGAGGAGAGAGCAGAGATCCAAGGGTTCTCTGTGATGCAGTGATACCATTACATCTGAGCCAAACAAACACCACTCTGACTCTGAGCCCAGGTGGACATGTTTCTGCTGCAGGCAGAGGCAAAGTGATGCACACAGAGCACAGTGAACGACAGACAAGGAATGACTTGTCCATCAGCTGCAGCATCAGTGACTTTAGGGTCAAAAGGTGAATTTATCACAGGCACTCGCCTCCAGTCAATCACAGCACTGAGAGGTGGTGACTGATATCTGCGCCAGAGAAGCACATGGCTCTCTGTGCAGTTAGGGAAAATGGAAGTGACAAAATGGAAGTGACACATTTTAGGATCAATCTATTTCCTCTGAGGGTTCTTAACAGATGGCTTTACTAACTCGGTGAAATAAGCCGACCAAAGCCAGGGCTTTAAACACCGTTCGTAGTGTTTGTAAAATATCTTACCTTTACTTACATTTTACTTTCATAAAACAATTTATTTTATTGTACATATTGCAGCTGTATTCCGAAAGAAAAACAAATGGTGACTTAAAAAGAACTTGCCATCTGCTGGCACTGACAAATATCACCAGTAATACTGACACAGTACGGAGGCGCGGTTGCTGCGCTATCACCATTAATACTGACACAGTACGGAGGCGCGGTGGAACAGGACATTGATGCAATCTCTGAGTATTCACTAACAGCTTATTAAACACAAATTTAACAGTGCCCTTCACGTCTGCCCACATTCCACAGCTTTAACGGTGCCATCATTTGTACTTGGTACCGACAGAAAAGCTGTGGGACGACTGTCCAGAACCAGCGTGCTGTCACTGCAGACAAAAACAGATCACACAGCCAATCCCCTGGTTCAAGGGGAAGAGGAAGGGACAGGGTACAAATGAAAGTTTCTAGAAGAAGAGAAGAGGGAGGTAGGACCGACGACACGTGGAAGGAAGGGCGGGGCGGAGAGTCACACAGGGAGCTATACATTTCCTCCTCTCCTAATGCTGGCTGCTCGCCTGTGATTAATTACACACTGGTCTGAAAATAGGTTGCCTCTTCTATCCCTGCCATGTATCTCTTTTTTTGTGCATGTGAAAGATATGGAGAAAAGGAGAGGAAGAGGAAGCTAGAGTTAAAAAAAAAAAATGGGGAAAGGAAAAGATCCGTGAAAAATATAATCCAGCATGGTTTGGTTTGGTTCGGCTTCATCTTGTGCTGTGACACAAATTTATGCTCACTGTGTGGATAAGTCTACATAGATACTTCAATGTCTCGAAAATATTTTTTAAAATCAAATTGTATTTTCAGTATGTTTCCGTCTGTTCATAAAGGCCATCCAAGTTCGGAACCTCGCACACGTGACCTGGATTTCTAGGGGACGGTAATCACGCGGCGCATGGTTTACAGTCTGAAGCCGAGTGATTAGCGAATGCGTCTGAATGTAACGGTGCAGACAAGCTTGTGCTGACAGAAACGGCGGGAATAAATGTGCGGCACGCGCGCAGCCACGGCAAAAGTGCACACGCACGCACTTGCATTTACTGTACGTACACCTGCTTATCGCAGGCCGCGTGGCTGCGCTCAGACTCACTGAACCTTGTAATAGCTTTGCTGAGACAGATCATGCCTCTTCCTGTTCAAGTGCCCTCCTTCTACAGACGTGATAAGCCATCACCGGGGCCCAGCAGGAGCTGTCCTGTTAAAATTTAATGCAACACTACATCCCTAAAAGGCAGCGAGGCACACAGGACATTTAGAGCCATATGGTCGGGCCGCCTAAAGTGTTAGCTTAAACACCAGCGCTCTCTGCGTCCCCTCGATCTGTCTATAGGATGAAATATTCATATTCTCACTTGTACAGTGGTGACAATAGCTGTGTGTTATTTGCATTAATGCTGATGGGAAGCGAGAAGCGACATACATAATGTATAGGTAAGGTGGCTGTGTACCAGAGCTGTCGCACACAACGCGATGTCCACATCTAGATTTTAACCTTGTAAAAAAATTCAGACAATGATGTATCACAAATGAAGTTTGAATATTTGGTCGTGATGAAAATAAACACATTTCGCCAAAGTGAGTATTTTGCTCTTTTAGGTAAGATAAATGAAATCCTAGAACTGTTGACAAGACTGGTTCAAAACTAGAAATCGTAAAAATGACAGAATCAAACATATATTTAATATTTAACCAGTAATCACACTGAAAATCAACTGGGATTTTATAACGCTGTTGTTTTTTTTGTTTTGTTTTTTTGCCATGCACTGACCTTTTATAAGTCCAATTAAGTGTTAAGCTCCTCAAGTACTTACTTCAAGTAAACTATGACTATGACTAAAAAAGAAAAACATTTTATTCTGTTAACAAGTGTTAAGCTCCTCAAGTACTTGTATTATTTCCTGGTAAACTATGACTATGACTAAAAAAAAGAAAAACATTTTATTCTGTTAAAATCTACATTTTCATAATGAATCATAATGTAAAACGTCACTGATCTGGTCAGCCGCTGACCCACTGACACTAAAAAAGTTACTGTAGATACTGAAGGAGAGAGACTAGAACATCTTCCAGGCTGCCTCGGCCACGGTAGATATTTCTTGGCTGGTATATGTGAAGGGGAGTGGTAGAGAAGGAGCAGGTGTGGAGAGAAATCTCTGACAAATGAGGATCGATGAGGGCTACAGGGGAGGGGGGGGGCGCTATTTCTATGCTGTGTGTTTCTATCTGCATGTTGAGATTCACAAGAGTAGTGATTTATTAAATATCGATGGTTCGAGACGTCACATGGTATCATTTTTTTAAGTCACATTTCTTCTCATCGTTTATCCAAAATAAGTCTCTGAACTAAAGGACCTTTCATTTGCATTTTTTGGCTTTGAAATACTGAAAATCAAGTTAGTTCAATTTTCTTTTTATGGCAAAACATTGATTAGAATATTGAAATCAAACCAATCATAAACAGCCAATAACAACTAAACAAAAATGGAAATTCTGAAATTCTTAACCAAAAATTAATAAAAAATAATTTGATGTTTTTGATACCACACTTGAAATATTCTTGTGTTAAGAGCAGATCTGCTGCAGCAGGCTGCCCCCTGCAGGTGCCAAGTATGTGGGTCCTCTGGGATTCGAACCCAGGACTTCCTACGCTACTCCTGAGGCAGGCGTGCTAAGCGCTACGCTACGGAACCATGAAAGAAGTCTTTTTTAGATGAGGCAAAGAAGCAGGTTTATCTCCCAGATACAGGTACGTCACATGATCGTGACATCACGGCGTCAGGGTACTAAGATGCTGTTTGTCTTGGGACTGTTCATTTTTCATGCTGGTCTGTGTAACCCCCTGTTGGGACAGAGCTGTGAGTGAGTCTGACGTGCCCTACATGCAGGGACTCAACCCCTCAACCCTCAACCCCACGACCCGCCGTGGGCTGTCTGCTGCATGACGCCCGTGACTGCAGCCAGGAGGCAGACGCCCCTGACTCTGCTCTTTTGCGCCTTCAGTGCCAGAAGCAGTGATCATCAGTCACACAATCCGACAGGTTGGGCTGGGCGAACCTCTCTGCTGCTGCCTGAAAATACTTCAGTTGGAAATTACACATTTCACTGTTAGGCTTGATGACGGGACGCTCCATTCTCATCAGTGTGCGTCTGCATCTGTGACTGGCTAAGTCGCTAACAGATGTATGTGTCAGACGGCAAATGGAGAATGAAACTGGAGGTGTACATCTCTGAGAGTAGT